ATCATATATTTTTTTTTTGGCAGGGGGGAGAGAGATTTTTGCTATAGGGTACATGCGCTCACTGGAGAGGCAGAGAGAGACAGAGATATCACCATTTTGGGGTATGGCCATGTTGGAATCCCTTCTCCATTCTTCTCTCAGGATTTTGGGCACCAACACACACAGGCTACCGAGTCTGGGACTCGAACTGTGGTCGACTGTGTGGGAGACCAGTGACGTAACCATTATGCAATCCTCTTATCCCGCTACATGAACTTTTTGCAGACTCCTTATACAAAGTTCTCATATGGGGACCAGCAGGTGGTGTAGAGGCACTCACCGGAGAGAGAGAGAGACAGAGAGAGAGAGAAAGTGAGAAAGCAAGCTGCCAGGTCTGGGACTGGAACCATGGTCAGCCATGTGAGAGTCCAATACCCCAAAACCATGCCACCTACTGTCCCCTCCCAGCCTAACTGTTCCCTATGGAAACTCAGAACCTGACATTGCCAATTCTCATAATGGACAGAAATTTAGAATTCAGACCCCTTATTTATTTATTTATTTATTTATTTATTTATTTTGAGAGAGGTTTTTGCTATAGGGCATATGTACTTGCCAGAGAGATAGAAAGAGAGAAATCACCCCCCAGGGGGGATGGTCACGCCGCAATCCCTTCTCCTCCATTCTCCTCTCGGGATCTTGGGCATGCACGCACACACGTCCGGCGTGAGTTTAAGCCACCAGGTCCGGGACTCGAACCACGGTCGACTACGTGGGAGTCCAGTGACGTAACCATCACACCAGCCACTGGTTCCAGACCTTGTACAGTGGGGAGATCTTGGCCCAGAGAGGGGGTAGCCACACCCAGAGTCACAGAATAGGCAGAGATAAGATTCCAGGCTGCCCCGCCATTCGCCTGGCTTCAGATAGGAGACGTGTCCTTCCCGTGTGACGAGGTGATTAGTGTTAATTCTCAGTCTGGAGAGTCCAGAGTCCACGGTAGGGCGGGTGAGGGGTCACCCCACCCTCCTCTGGCCCAGCTCCTCCTCCAGGGTGCCCTCAGATGCGGATGTGGAAGGTGCTGTGTACAAAGAGAAAAAGCATCAGTGACATTATGTATGGGACAGCCCTCTTGGTCCTCCTTGGGGAGATGAACCCCCTCAAGTATCCTCGGGTCTGGCCTTCCTGACTCCCACAGAGGGTGAGAACACAGGCTGTTGGTTTTGGTTCTTTTTTTTTTTTTCTTTGAACAATTTTTAAACATTTGTTTTCATAAAGGGCCAAGTAGTTGATAGTGTTTGGGGTTTTCTCCTTGAGGTTTTTGTCATAGGGTGTGTGCGCTCTGAGACAGAGGGAGGGGAAGTGAGAACTCACCCTCCACCCCGGGGAATGGCCATGCTGGAACCCCTCCTCCTCCGGTCTCCTTTCAGGGTTTTGGGCACGCGCACACACAAGCTCCTTTCAGATGTGGAAGTGGGTTGTGCGGGGTGGGGGCGCGTGTCACCTGAGGAAGTCGGGTGCCCGCAGGATCATGTTCTGGAAGTCTTCCAGGGACAGTCGCCCGTCGTGGTCCCCGTCGGCTTCATCCAGCACCTTCTCACACACCAGGCTCACCTCCTCGGCGCTCAGCTCCCCCCGCGTCAGCTTAGTCACCGTCTGCTCCAGGTCCCACGCGCAGATGTAGTCGTCATTGTTGAAGTCTGCAGAGGAGCGGGTCAGCAGATGGCTCGGTGGTGAAGACACTGGACTCGCACATGGTCTACGGCGGTTCGAGTCCCAGACCTGGCAGCTTGCTTTCTTATCTCCTCTCCCTCTCTCTGTCTCTCTGGTGAGCACACGTGCCCTATAACAAACTTTAAAAATAACAAAAAATAACAATTATAGGAACCAGCAGTTGGCATAATGGCTATGTTGCTGGACTCTCATGTAGTCAACCATGGTTCGAGTCCTGGACCCGGTGGCTTAAACTCACGCTGGGTGCGTGTGCGTGCGTGCCTAAGATCCCAAGAGGAGAATGGAGGAGAAGGGATTGCAGCATGGCCATCCCCCCTGGGGGGTGATTTCTTGCTTTCTGTCTTCCTGTCTGTCTCTGTCTTTCTGGCAAACACACGCGCCCTATAGCAAAACCTCTCCAAAGAATAAAAATAAATAAAAATAACAATAATAGTGGGTCCAACAGGAGTCATGGTGATTAGGATGCTGGACTCTTACATGGCTGACCACAGTTTGAGTCCCAGGCCTGGCAGCTTGCTTTTTCACTTTCTCTCTCTCTGGTCCAATTAAAATATAATAATAGTAGATCAAATTAAATCAAAATAATTCTTTTTTTAAAATCGCAATAATAGAAATCAAGTAAATAATTTTTTAAAAGTCTCAGAGCAGAGTGGTTGGGGAAAGACAGCAGACAGCAGGGCACTGGGCTGGTTATGGGCACACCATGTTCCTATATTAGACAAGAGGAAACTGAGGCACAGGGAGGGGTTAGAATCTGAGACCTGGAGAGACCAGCAGGTGGCATAATGGTAACATCACTGGACTCCCACGTAGTTGACCACAGTTCATGTCCCAGACCCAGTGGCTTGAAACTCACGCCAGGCACGTGTGTATGCATGCCCAAAATCCCAAGAGGAGAGTGGAAGAGAAGTGATCGTGGCATGGCCATCCCCCAGGGAGGGGGGGGTGATTTCTTACATTTTGTCTCTCTCTCTCTCTCCATCTCTCTTGTAAGCACAAGTGCTCTATAGCAAAAATCTCTCCAAAAAAATTTAAAAAGACAAGCATTAAAAAGACGAATACTTTTGTAAAAAGTATTTATGTTTAATTTTATTTACTTATTTTAATTTGACCAGAGAGAGACACAAGAAAGGGAGAGAGAAAGTGAGAAAGCGAGCCACCAGGTCTGGGGCTCAAACCATGGTTGGCCATGTGGAACTGTCCAGCACCTTAGCCACCACGCCACCTGGTGATCCCCACCCTAGGTCTTTCCACAGAGAAAGTTGGTAAGTGACCCAATCACTGAACAAGAGGTTAAGCAGAGTTGCTCAGAGCAGGCAGAGAGAAATAGGATTATGGAGGACCAGCAGTTAGTGTAATGGCTATGTTGCTGGACTCCCATGTAGTCAACCACGGTTCAAGTCCCGGACATGGTGGCTTAAACTCACACAGGGCACGTGTGCGTGTGTGCCCAAAATCCCGAGAGGAGAATGGAGGAGAAGGGATTGCAGTGTGGCCATCCCCCCTGGGGAGTGATTTCTCACTTTCTGTCTCTCTGTCTCTCTTTGTCTTCCTGGTGAGCGCCCACGCTCTATAGCAAATAAATAAATAAATAAATAAATAAATAAATAAATAAATAAATAAATAAATAAATAAATAAATAAATAAATAAATAAATAAATAAATAAATAAATAAATAAATAAATAAATAAATAAATAAATAAATAAATAAATAAAAATAAAAAATTAGAAATAGGATGATGGGAGGCTGGAGGCTCCTTTGGACTCAGACTTCAAGGCCAAGAAAGAGCCAGAGGATGTGTCCTAGGGATAGGATGCAGGAAGGCAAAGGCCAGGAAGCAGATTTGGGGTGTAAGGAACAAGGCCCAGTGTGGCTGCCATGGAGTGAGGAAGGGGTTGAGGTGGGGAGGTGCTTCAGTGGAGGCCAGGGCCACACATGCAGGGTCTTCAGGACCTTGGGGAGACCTTCGTAATGGGGGTTCCTCCTGGTTCCCACCCCATGTTCCCCCACCCCAAGACAATGCACGCACCATAAATTTTAAAAGCATAGTAGGCCTTAAGGTCTCGGGGTGCCATTTCGCTCATCACGGAAAACATGTCCAGGAAGTTGTCCAAGGTCATGTGGCCGTCCCCATCCTCGGAGAAGACCTGGGCGATCCTCTGGCGGAAGGGGTTGTCCTAGGGACAGGAGGGAAGCAGGGAATGGTGACAGAGTCTCTGGGGGTCCGGGTGGTCTCACGCTCAGAACCCACTTTCCTGGAAATCTCCAATATCCCCCCCACCATGGCTCTTCCTTCCCACATCCTGGGATTAGGACTTCCAGCAACTCCATTTCCTGTCCTTGTGATCTGAGCCATGTTGGTCCCACTTCCTGCTGTAGGGGTAGCCACGTGACCAAGGTGAACCAATCAAAGATTTGCATTCACTTGGTACCTGTGATTGACTCTGGGGAGGGGACATGTGACTTGATCTGACCAATCAGAGGCTGCCCTGGGATGTTTTCTGAAAAATCAGGAGAAAGGGGCTTGTGGAGCTGATAGGTGCTAAAGAGAAATGGCTGAGCTTAACTATCTCCAAAAGAGAGGCCGCTGGAGAGAAGTTGAGACATGGGGAGAGATTCCTGAACACTGGTTTCAGAAGCTCTGGTTCCAGCCCTACCTGACGCTGGCCTTGCTCCTGGTTTTTTTTGTTCCCCTGACCAATCCATTCTGTTTCTCTCCAATGACGTTTCTGTCACTTCCAATAGAATAGTCCTGACTCTGGGACCAGCAGGTGGTGTAGTGGTTAAGGTGCTGGACTCCCACATGACCAACCACCGTTCAAGACCCGGACCTGGTAGCTTAAAGCTCACACCAGGTGTGTGTGCATCCGTGCCCAAAATTCTGAAAGGATAACGGAGGAGAAGATTGTGGTGTGATCTTCCTCCCAGGGGGATGATTTCTTGCTTTCTGTCTCTGTCTCTCTGGAGAATGCACATGCTCTATAGCAAAAATCTCTTGAAAAAAAAAAAAAGATAGTTTCAACTCAAAATCACACACATCCTCCCAAGTGCAATTCAGAGACACAATCCCATGTCAAATATCCAGCCAAGGAGAACCTGCTCTGGGGCCAGCAGATGGCATAGCAGTTACATCACTGGACTCCCATACAGCTGACTGTGGTTCAAGTTCTGGACCCGGTGACTTGAAAATCAGGCTAGATGCATGTGTGTGGGTGCCCAAGGTCCTGGGAAGAGAATGGAGGAGAAGGGATTGCATCCTGGCCATCCCGCCTTGGGGGTGGTTTCTCACTTACCCTCTCACTATCTCTGTCTCTATCTCTGACAATTTCATATACCCTAAGGCAAAAACCTCTAAAAAAAAGGAGAAAAGAAGAAGGAGGAAAGGAAAGGAAAGCAAAGAAAAAAGAGAAAAGAAAAGAAAAGAAAAAAAGGGAGCTAGCAGGTGGCATGGTAGTTCAATGTACTGGACTCCCACCGAGCTGGCTGTGGTTCAAGTCCTTGACCTGGAGGCTTCCTTCCTCACTTTCCCCTCTCTCTGTGTCTCTGGTCAAATTCAAATAATAGTAATAATGACGAATAAAAAAAAAAATAAAACGATTCTTAAAAAAAAAAAAAAAGAAAAGAGAGAAAGAAAAGAAGAAAAAGAACCTGTTAGCTCCTCCTGTTAGAACAAAAGGAGTTAACAAGGGGCCAGCAAGTGACGTGGTGGTTAAGGGTACTGGACTCCCACATGGCTGACCACGGTTTGAGACCCGGACCTGGTAGCTTGCTTTCTCATTTTCGAGATATTTTTTTCTTTTCTTTTTTTTTAAGAGCTAATTCTATGGTTTGTTTTTCTGGCCCTCCCTGTGGCCCAGGTATACCTTCAGTTCAGGCATGCTGCCAATGAGCTCGTAGGGTACTTTCACATCGGGGCAGCCGGTATAGTCGAGGGGGACGAGCTGGGGAGCCAGGTCCTGGTAGCGATAGAAGAGCCTGGAGTGGAGAGGGAAAAGCCGGGAAGGGCTGGGAACCTGGAGAAAGGAAGGGACTTGTCCCTCTGCTGGGTCCCCAGGAGCCATCAGCCCTGGGGCTGATCCTCCAGCAGACAGAACCAGACAAAGCCTTGAGGACAGAGCCATGGTGGAAAGAGGGCCCCAGGGCTAGGGAAGACATGCGTGAGGGAAAGCACACCAGGCAGGAAGGAACATTTCCCAGAGGAGGGGAATTAGCCTTGGGCTTTGAAGCATGAGTAGGAGTTCACTAGGCCAATAGAGGTGAGAGATAGGAGGAAGCTTAAGACCAGATCAGGGGACCAGCAGTTAGCGTAATGGCTATGTCGTTGGATTCCCACATAGTCGACCGCGGTTCGCATCCCAGACCCGGTGGCTTAAAACTCACACCGGGCACGTGTGCATGCCCAAGATCCTGAGAGGAGAATGGAGGAAAAGGGATTGCGGCATGGCCATCCCCCCTGGGGGGTGATTTCTCACTTTCTGTCTCTCTGTCTCTCTCTGTCTGGTGAGCTCATGTGCCCTATAGCGAAAACCTCTCCAAAAAAAAAAAAAAAGTCCAGATCAGATCAGAGCAAGCATTCAAAGAATCCCAGATAATTAAATCTCAAGTCAGCACCATGGCCTGATTATTATTGTTATTATTATTATTTAAATTTACTTATTTCTTTAATTCCATTGGTTATTATTATGTTTTAATTTGACCAGACAGAGAGAGAGAGGGAAAGTGAGAAAACAAGCCTCCAGGTCTGGGACTTGAACCATGGTCTGTCATGTGGGAGTATCCAGCGCCTTAACTACCACGCCACCTGTCCTCACATAGCCTGATTTTTTAAGGGAACTAGATCCCACATGACCGACCATGCGGTTCAAATCTTGGCCTCAGTGGTTTGAAAAATACAACAGGTGCATGCACACGTGGGCTCAAAACCCCAACAGGATGGGGACCAGCAGTTAGCATAATGGCTGTGTCGCTGGACTCCCATGTAGTCAACCGCGGTTTGCGTCCCAGACCTGGTGGGTTAAAACTCATGCCGGGCACGTGTGCATGCCCAAGATCCCGAGAGGAGAATGGAGGAGAAGGGATAGTGGCGTGGCTATCCCCCCTGGGGGGTGATTTCTCGCTTTCTGTCTCTCTGTCTCTCTCTGTCTGTCTGGAGAGCGCACGCGCCCTATAGCAAAAACCTCTCCAAAACAAAAACAAAAAAACTAAAAGCAAAAAGAAGAAAAGAAGGGGGAATAGGGTGAATGAAAGGCATTTAGTGAAATGTTGAATGCTTCACGTGTCACCTAGAGAGTGACGCCAACTCTCCTCTTACATCCTATCACCTGATGCTGTCGTACCTGCTTTGGGACATGCAAAGCAGCGGCCTTGTAGAGCACACATTTGCTGACTCTGTGGTCCCCAAGCTGTGAAGGACTGGCGGCCTCAGAGGGAGACAGGAGCTCCTGGGCCATAGATGGTTACAAACTCAAGGGCAATATCTGGGATTTTAGTCCTGACCACTCAGCGCTCCTGGGACATCCCTGCGATTGAATTTCTTTTTTCTTTTCTTTTCTTTTTTTTTTTAAAGAGAGATTTTTTTTGCTATAGAGCGATGCGTTTGGCACAGAAACAGAGGGAAAGCGAGAGAGGCCAGCAAGTGGTGTGATGGTTAAGGTACTGGACTACTACATGGCTGACCATGGTTTGAGTCCTGGACCTGGCGGTTTGCTTTCTCACTTTCCCTTTCTCTCTCTCTGGTCAAATAAAAAAATAACAAATGGATTTCAATAAATAAATAAATGAGTAATTTTTTTTAAAAATGAGAAAACTCCCCCGGGGGGATGGCCACACTGCAATCCCTTCTCTTCCATTCTCCTCTTGGGATCTTGGACATGCATGCACGCGTGTCTGGCGTGGTCTGGGACTCGAACCACAGTCGACTACGTGGGAGTCCAGCAACGTAAGCATTACACCATCTGCTGGTCCCTGCGTTTGGGTTTCTTTTTGGTTTTCTTTCTTTTTTTTTAAAAAAAGAATTATTTAATTTTATTTATTCATTCCTTTATTTGTTTTTTAATTTGAACAGAGAGAGAGAGAGAGAGAGAAAGGGAGAAAGCAAGCCACCAGGTCCAGACTCGAACTGTGGTTGGCTATGTGGGAGTGTCCAGAAGCTTAACCACCATACCCCTTGCTGGTCCCCGCCGGTGTTTGGGTTTCTGTGTGACCGTGAGCAAGGCCGTCGCCCCCTCTGAGCCTGTGTTATTCTGACGAGCGAGACGCTTGGGACAGATGAAAGGCTAGCCTTCGACTCTTTGGGACACATCAACCCCGAAGCCTAGGGTCAGCCCTGCCCTGTCCAAGCCTCAGTTTCCCCATCAGTAATCCGATCACAGTGGCCAAGATGACCCCACAAGCTGTCCTCACCCACACAATGGGGCTCACTGCAGAGGCGTGCCCATCAATTATGGATGTCCCGTGCCCACACAATCGGGGCCTTGGCCCCGATCACTCTGCAGCTGAACCCCCGCCAGCTTGGGTTTCACAGCTCCAAGTTCATGGGTCAGGGCCTCTGGACAACGGCCCCACAGGCCGAGGGATGACGTGGGACACTTCTCTGTGCCTGTCTCACTGGGTTCACGACAGAGACTCACAGCGGCCTCGGGCCACCTCCTGCACCTCACGTTGATGCCAATGCCATGGCTTAGAGCTCTGAGCTCTGCACCTGGACTCCCGGCCTCCAGTTCGAGCCTCTTCACCTGGATCTGCTCCCCCTCCGCTCACACACCCTTCATGGCTCCCTGCCACCCTGGGAAGAAAGCCAACGCCTATCAACCTAGATGTGATTTCCTGGTGTCCCCGTCCACCCACCACGCCTGCGACCTCCTGCCCGTTAACCCGTCACCTCCACGTAGGAGTCCTGGCAAATGACAAATTCCCCCCAGCAACGAACAGAAAGTTGTTCCATGGGACCATCAGACAACGCAATGGCTACATTGCTGGACTCCCATGTAGTCAACCACGGTTCGAGTCCCGGACCCGGTGGCTTAAACTCACACTGGGCGCGTGTGTGTGCGTGCCCAAGATCCCGAGAGGAGGATGGAGGAGAAGGGATTGTGGCGTGGCCATCCCCCGAGGGGGTGATTTCTCGCTTTCTGTCTCTCTGTCTCTGTCTTTCTGGCGAGCACATGCGCCCTATAGCAAAAACCTCTCAAAAAAAAAAAGAAAAGAAAAGAAAAAGAAAACAGGAAAAAAAAAAAAAAAAAGAAAGTTGTTCCTGACCAACCCTTTTCTGGCCCAGTTCATACCACGTTCTGGAAGCCACATGCTAACAAGGGTTTGGATCGCCGGGTTGGCCTGGGGGTGCACTGAGCATGCGTGAATAAGCTTCTGGCTTCCTGAGGAGTTGGGGGGCTGGGGAGAGGGATCGCAGAATGATGGGACCCTGTTGAAGGTCTCTCTCTCTTTCTTGTACGTGCATGCTTGTTCTCTATCATGAAAAAGAATAAAGGAGCCAGCAGGTGGCATGGAGGTTAAGGCAGCTGGATCCTCCATGACTGACTCCATGGTTCAAATCCCAGACCCAGAGGCTTGAAAATCACCTTTGATACGTTTGCATGTGTGCCCAAAATCTCAGGAGGAGAAGGGAGGAGAATGGATTGCAGTGTGGCCAACCCCCTCGGGGGCGATTTCTCACTTTCCCTCTCTCTCTCTCTCTTCTCTCTCTCTGGCGAGTGCACACGTCCTATAACAAAACAAAAGCCAGGGGCCGGCAGGTGACATGATGGGTAAGGTATTGGACTCTCACATGGCCGACCCCACGGTTTGAGTGCCCGAATGATGACCTGCTTTCTCACTTTCCCTTTTTCTTTCTTTCTCTATCTCTGTGGTCAAATTAAAAATAATAATGGTGGGACCAGCAGATGGTGTAATGGTTACGTCTCTGGACTCCCACATAGTCCACTGTGGTTCAAATCCCGGACCCAGCAGCTTACAACTCACACCGGGCTCTTGTGCATACATTCCCAAAATCTCAAGAGGAGAAGGAACTGTGGCGTGGCCATCTCCCCTGAGGGGTGATTTCATGCTTTCTGTCTCTCTGTCTCTCCTTCTCTCTCAGCAAACGCATGCACCCTATAGCAAAAAAAATCTCTTTTAAAAAATTAATAATGGGGCCAGCAGGTGGCATGGTGGTTAAGGTACTGGACTCCCACATGGCTGACTGTGGTTCAAGTCCTGAACCTGGTGACTTGCTTTCTCACTTTCCCTCTCTCTCTCTCTCTCTCTGTCTTTCTCTGGTAAAATTAAAACATAAATAATAATAACAAATACAATAAATAAAGATACCTTTTTAAAAATTAATAATAATAATGAAGGTGAGTAAAATTAAATAAGTAATTCTTTAAAAAGCCTCAAATAATAATAATAAAAAAATAGAAACAATAGGGACCAGCAGTTGGCGTAATGACTATGTTACTGGACTGCCATGTAGTCGACCGCGGTTCGCGTCCCAGACCTGGTGGCTTAAACTCACGCCGGGTGCGTGTGTGTGTGTGCCCAAGATCCCGAGAGGAGAATGGAGGAGAAGGGATTGCGGCGTGGCCATCCCCCCTGGGGGGTGATTTCTCGCTTTCTGTCTCTCTGTCTCTCTCTGTCTGTCTGGCAAGTGCACGCTCCCTATAGCAAAACCTCTCCAAAAAAAAAAAAGAGAAAAGAAGAAGAAAGGGAGGGAAGAAGGAAGTCCCCAGGCCTTTCCTGTTCCCACAACTGACCTCATGATTTCTTTCCTTGTGAAGAAGGTGCAGTCCTGCTGAGAGAGACGTTGGCTTGACCCGCACCCTGCCTCCAGGGACCGGCAGGGTTTTCCCCGTCCCCTGTTCCCTTCCACCGCCCTCCACCCACACCGGTGCCCCGTCACTGCAGACACGGCCACGCCAGGGTCCCTTCTTCACTGCACACCCAGCTGCAGGGACGCTGTTCCCATTTTTCAGCCCAGGGAAGCCACGCTGTCAGACCCCAGCCCGCATCCCTACCTGGTAGGCTTCCAGCTGTTCGTGAGTGAAGACTGTCTGCTTGTTGCCCATGGTGAGAACCACCGTCCAGACCCCAGACGAGCTCCGGAAAACCCCCAGTCTCCTTGGGGCCGCACGAGTTGCCAGGTGGCTATGAACCAACGTCTGGGCAAATGTCCCTGCCCTGGCTGTCACCCGCCCACCTGCTTGGTCACCCCCCAGCCTGGGTGAGGCTCAGGTTACAGCTGAGCTTTCTGCGTGACAGCCGGAGTGTGTCCACAGGAAGACGGGCTGTGAAGGTCAGTCCTGGGTGGTTAGACCGCATCCACCACCACTAGGGGGAACTGGGGTCAGGGGCACCGTCCAGAGACACGCAGGGTGTCGGACGGCCTGCTGTCAGGCTGCTAGCTGTGTGGTTTTACGGAAGTAGCCTGACCTCTCTGAGCCTCGTTTGTTAAATGGAAATTGCGTTAGGATCGACTCACGTAGGGTTATTCTGAGGATCTAAAAAGATTGGGACCAGCAGTTAGCATCATGGCTGTGTTGCTGGACTCCCACCTAGTCGACCGCGGTTCGAGTCCCGGACCTGGTGGCTTAAACTCACACCGGGCACGCGTGCGTGTGTGCCCAAGATCCCGAGAGGAGAATGGAGGAGAAGGGATTGCGGTGTGGCCATCCCCCCTGGGGGGTGATTTCTCGCTTTCTGTCTCTCTATCTCTCTCTGTCTGGCGAGCCCACGTGCCCTATAGTGAAAACCTCTCAAAAAAAAAATTAAATTAAATTAAAAAATAAAAATAAACAAGATTTAAATACATATAGATTTAAATACATATATGGGGACTAGGAAATGGTGTGATGATTACATTGCTGGACTCCCACGTAATAGACTGTGGTTCGAGTCCCAGACCCGGTGGCTTAAAACTCACACCTGGTACATGTGTGTACGTGCCCAAGATCCCTAGGGGAGAAGGGATTGTGGTGTGTCCATCCCTCCTGGGGTGATTTCTCACTTTCTATCTCCCTGTCTCTGGCACACTTACCCTATAGCAAAAATCTCTCAAAACATGTATATACATATATATGTGTGTGTGTGTGTGTATATGTGTGTGTGTGTGTGTATACATATATATATTTGTTGTTCTTGACCATTAACCATAAGCCAATTTTATAGACCGGGAGCATTTCAGTGGGTGTGCCTTAAATTACCACCATTATTGGGAACCAGCAGTTAGCATAATGGCTATGTCGCTGGACTCCCATGTAGTCGACCGCCGGGTAACAGCTGGGTAATACAATTTAATTGAAATGTAACTCACAAAACAGAAATTATTTTGGCTTTGAACTTTTAAGGAAGAGCAAATTTAGGACTCCCATCCAGGTGAAATGGTCAGACATGACTTATATTTGACAGAGAAATGTGTCAATAATCTGACACAGTTTGCAATGGTACTTTATTCATTTTTTTAAATTATTTCATTGGCATTTTATTTATTTATTTACTTATTTAATTTTGACCAGAGAAAGAGAGAGAGAGGGTAAGAGAGGGAAAGTAAGAAAGCAAGCCACCAGGCTCAGAACTTGAACCACCGTCAGCCATGTGGGAGTCCAGCGCCTTAATCACCACACGACCTGCACCTGTCAGTCCCAATCACCTCTCTTTTAATACAGAGATGCAGGCAGCCCCCATCTGCGGGAATGAGGAAGTCCATTCTGCCTGGGCAGCTTATCCAATGTTGGGCCGCTAAAGGGTGCAGCCGTGACCTGGGGATTAGGCGGTCACGTGCTGCCCCCTGCAGGCCAGGGTGGGAAAGGCAGTCACTGTGCCCTCCTTTGTCTGAGTCCTGGAGTTTTTTTCATTTCCCCACCTCATATTCCGCCCCGCCCTCCAAATAAACCGCCTGATCACAATTTGAACAGCGGCTGTAAGCCTTAAAATGCATAAGTATACAAAACCTGGGACCTGGTCATACGTTGCAGCAAATGCTGGCCATTTGCAAAAGTTGATCAAGATGATAATAGCAGGATCCCACATGGGTGATTGCACAGTTCGAGTCCCGGACCCGGTGGCTTGAAAACCACACCGGGGTAGAACTGGCAGGTGGTGTGGTGGTTAAGACGCCCGGGTAGAACTGGCAGGTGGTGTGGTGGTTAAGGCGCTGGACTCCCCTATAGTCGACCAGGTGCCTTGCTTTCTCACTTTCCTTATTTTTTCTCTCTCTCTCTCTGCCTCTTTCTGGATAAAATTTGAAATAATAGGGGACTAGTAGTTAGTATAATGGCTATGTCCCTGGACTCGCATGTAGTCGACCGCGGTTTGAGTCCCAGACCCGGTGGCTTAAACTCATGCCGGGTGCATGTGCATACTTGCCCAAGATCCTGAGAGGAGAAGGGATTGCGGCATGGCCATCCCCCCGGGGAGTGGTTTCTCACTTTCTGTCTCTCTGTCTCTGTCTTTCTGGCGACCTCATGCATCCTATAGCAAAAACCTCTAATAAAAAAAAAAACAAAAAACCCCACTTTATTTTTTAGTTTGACCAGAAAAAGACAGAGTAAGATTGACCAGAGAGAGACACAGAGAGAGAGAGGAAAGTGAAAAAGCAAGCCACCAGGTCTGGGACTCGAACCATGGTTAGCCACATGGGAGTCCAGCACCCTTAACCACCACACCACCTGTCAGATTCTCTCTCTTTCTTTCTTGTTTTTTTTTTTTAGATTTTTTTTGCTGTTGGGTGCATGTGCTTGCAGCAGAGACAGAAACAGAGAGAGAAAAAGTGAGAAGTGATCCCCCATGAGTATGGCCACGTTGCAATTCCTTCTCCTCCATTTTCCTCCTGGGATGGGATTTTGAGTGTGCATTCAAGCCCCTAAATAAATAATTCTTTTCTTTCTTTTAGAGTTATTTTATTTAATTTTATTTATTGACCTAATTTGACCAGAGAGGGACAGAATGAGAGAGAAAGAGAGAGGGAAAGTGAAAAAGCAAGCCGCCAGGTCTGGGACTTGAACCATGGTCAGCTATGTGGGAGTCCAGCACCTTAACCATCATGCCACCTGC